TGAGACTGAACTAGATTAAAAACAAAACTCTCCAGCGAAGCCGCAGGCCCTCCAAGCTAGGTAGTCCCCTACCAACAGAGCGCAGCGGATGCCAGCAGCCCTGCCCCTAAACGACCGGTCCATCGCCCTGGTAAACCGCCGTCCCGGGAGGACGGGGGTGGGGTGGGGGTGGGGTGTGCGGGGACCGGGGGCAGGGGCGCGGACACACACGGAAGCGTTTGGCACGCCGAGGTTGACACAGCGGCTTCCGGGGGAATGCGGAGCAGGCAGGGTCCCCGACGAGGGGGGCAGGCGGAGGACACCTCCCAGGCGCCGAGAGGGCGAGAGTCGCGGGCTGGCACGGCCTGGCAGCCGAGCAGGCCCGGGCCGGGAGTGGCACCGGAGGGCGGTGCCCGGCTTCCCATCCGACAAGCGCCGGCCGCGGGCCCCCTCCTGGCGAGAACCCCTCCCCCGCCACGGGCACTGACCTGTCCAGGGCCCGGCTGGGCCTGGCCGGGCGGGGCCTACGCAGCCCCTCGGCCGGGCGCCGCCTCGCGCGGGGTCCCGGGCCCGGGCGGGCCGCCTCCTCTCCGCCGGGAGCCTCCGAGCCGGGGCCCGGGGCTGCCGCGGCGCATCCGACCGCACCGGCCTGGCCGGCGTCAACAAAGGGCGGCGGGGGCGCGAGGCCGGGGCGGGGGCGCGGGCGGCGGCCGGATTGCGCGCGCGCGCGGCGGGCGCTCGAGGGCTGCAGCCGCCGCGGAGACAATGCGGCGCGTCCCGGCAGGGCTCCCGCGGCCGCCTCCGCCGGGGGCGGGGCGCGGGGCGGGGCCTGGTCGCGCGGGGCGGGGTCTCCGGGAGGCGGGGCGCCGGCGCGGAAGCCGGGCCGCGCGCTTCCTTTGTGCGGCCGCGCCGGCCCCGCCCCGCGCCCTCCGGAAGGCGCCCCGAGCCGGGCGACGGGTTAGGGACGTCGGCCTCCGGTTTAGGGAGGCGGGCGCCGCGCGGCGAGGACGTCTGCCCGCGGCCGGTCAGCAGTCCCCAGTGGCGTGGCGGACTGTTGACTCCCGCCCGGCCAATTCGGAGGCAATAATAATAACGACTAGCAGTAATGGAGTGCTTAGTATGTGTCAAGCCCTCGGCGCACGCATTCCCACTTAGGCTTCACGATAACCCTACAAGTAGTCATTATTTTCCCCACTGGGAACTGAGGATCAGAGAAGTTAAGTAATGACCAAAGTGACCCAGTTACACCTCCATAAACGGGGATAATGCCTACTCTTTAGGCTTACTGTGAAGGTTAACTGAGGACATTTACACAAATTGCCTGCAGTGCTTGGCACACAGTTGGAGCCCAATAAATGTTACTTCTCTTCCTAAACCACACTGATTTAAACCGGATTGTCATGGCGAAGCACAATCATTCACTAGATACGCTAGGAGCTGTGGGGGGTACAAGAGATGTACAAGGTGACTCACGCGTCTCACCGCCCCACGCCCCAGCTTTACCAGGAATCGATGACACGTACTTCTCCCTCCATGCTTGACGTCTCTCTTTTCCCAACATTTTCCCATTTTCTTGCTTTTTTAAGCATTCGTATTCTCCCTCCCCCTCCCCGGCTCCCCCCCCCCCGCTTTTCCCCTTCAGGTCTCATCCCTTTTTGTTTCTGCGTCTTACATTTATTTTATATGCCCTGATTGTTTACTTCACTCCCTCTTCTCCTTATCCCTCTTCCCTCCCTATTTTTCGAATTTTCAAAGTCTTCTTTCATTAACATTACCATTTCCTCCTCCTTTCTGATTTGCATTTCTTATACTTACAAAGATAACATGGGATAGAACACTCAACTTCTATTTCCCAAACAGGCCCACACTTTTGTGCCTCCCTACCTTTACTTCCTATAGTCCCTTCTAGATTGCCCTTTCCCCAACTCTGCATGTCTAGGTCCTACTTATCCTTCAAGTTCTAGACTCAAGAACAGTGGTCGGCAAACTTTCTCTGTAAGGAACCAGATAGCAGATATTTTAGACTTTGCTGGATATACTTTCTCTGTTGTAACAATTCAGCTCTGCTGTTGTAGCAGGACAGCAATCACGGGTAATACACACATGAATAAGTACGGCTGTGCTTCAATAAAACTTTATTTATGGACACTGAAATTTAGATTTTATATAATTTTCACATATCATAGCGTATTCGTTTGATTCTTAAAAGAATTTTTAAATGTAAAAACCATTATTAAATAGTTTACAAAAACTGGCGATGTGATGGATTTGGCCCTTGGGATGTTGTTTGCCAACCTCTGCTCTAGAACAACTCCCCTTCCTCTCAGCAATCTATCCTGATAATCTCTACTTGGTGGTAACTCTTCCCTCTTAACTTTTAAAGTACTTACCTATAATCCTTCTATGGCATTTATCACATTTTGGTTTTTATTGTATGTTTTCTTCCTGTGCATTTCTCGTCTTTCCCAGCAGACCTTAAGCTCCTTGAAGGTAGGGCACAGACCTTATTTCTCTATGTATTACCTCCCAGCCCACAGAGCTTTGCACGAAGCAGGCATTGGAACATAGAATGGATAAATATTTAAGTCTTGTGTGGTTCACAGTTGTTTCCACTGTGCAAAGCCCACTTCTCTCATGAGATAGTACCTCAGGAACAGGATGCTTGTTATAAGTATAGATTTCAGAGATTTTTGAGAGCTTTATAGAGAAGACAGAGAAAGACAGGCAAATGTCAGTTCATTTAGGAGTTACTGGATAACAAGTACTTAAACAAAGAATGCATATTATCACCAACCTGCAGACAGAGCATGTGTCCTCAGTCGGGTCCTATTCAACATTTCTATCAGCACATTGGTTAAAGACAAAGAGAACATGCTATATGATTTACAGATGGCAAAGTCAAGCAGAGGAGTTAATATAAAGAATCACAAAATCCAGATCTAAAACATTTCTGCCCCCTCACTGATTCTCTCTGTGTCTCTGTTTTCCTATCTTTAAAATGGGGATGATAAAAGTCCCTTCCTACCTCATAGGGTTACTGTCAGGACTAAATGAGGAAATACACATAAAGCCTGGCAGAGAGGGCTTAGTAAATATTAGCTATTAACTATTTTCTTGCTGGGCAGGAACTACTGGCTGAATTCACAAGATAACATTTAATAGGCATAATTAACTATATATTTTGGCTCAAAATATAAATTGTACAAGTTTGAGACTGTGGAGACCTGGAATGATAGCAGTCCGTGTTAAAAGAAACCTTAAAAACAAAATAAAAAATAAATCCCAAACCCAACCCTCTGGGATTCAGGTGACACAGTGCTCTGTGAGCCAACAGGTGTCATTCCTCTGGCTGGGAGGAGCTACTGCGGGGCTATAGGTACATCGTGCTGATGCTGGAAGATGAGGGAGTTACGCTCAGAGCCAGAGTCAGGGCACTGCCCTTCATAGCAGTGTGACCTGGACCCTCTATGGGCTTTTATTCCCTCCTTTGAATCACAGGGACAGTAATATTTCTCTCTCAGGGTTATCATGAACGAGGGAAGGAAAACTTAAAACAGTACTTGGCACCTAGTAGGTGTGCAGACAAATCTCAGTTCCTCCCTACCATACCATGCAGATCTGCGAAACAGTCCTGTCCCTTGAAGGGCGTACGAAGCTAGGTCCAGGTGCCAACCAATGGTGGCCAGTGGGTTTTTATATTTGGAATTACTGTGCTTAATTTGGGAGCTCACACTTTGGGAGAATTAATGCAAAGGTGGAATGTGGCTAAACAAGAATGACCAGATGGTGGTGGCAATGGGAGGTCTTGACATGGGATGGGTTAAAAAAAAAAAAAAAGTTCTCAGATATGCAGCCTGGAGATTTTCCCTTTTTTAATGGGAAGGAGAGGAAAGAGACACGGTAACTGTCTACAAAGGCCACAGGAGATGGACTGTTACAATTCCCAAGACGTTCACAGCCAGTGATGGAAGTTCCAGGAGAGCTGGTTTTGGCTTAATTTGAAGAGCAACTTTCTGATAATTAGAGCAACTCCACAGTGGGATGGGCTGCTTTTCAAACTGGTGAATCCCTTCTTATTGCAAGTGTGCCAAGAGAACGGATGTCCTCCTTCCTGTCTTTTAATTTTCCTGATGTTCTTTCTCCACATTCTTTTGCTTTCCTTTTCCTTGATCCCATCCTCTATTCCTTATAGGACACTGATAGCCCTTTCCCCTACTTTGTCCCCAAGTGCTTGTGTTCTCATTTCTCCTTCTTGAGTTTCCAAACTCTTTGGCTCTCCATTCTCCCCACCCCGACTCCCAGCACATACTTTGTCTGGTGACTGGAACTGCCTCCCTGACAGCTCAGAATGTCACCGATCTGGGCCAAGATTGCGCACCAGCAGAGAGGGGACCCAGAGGTCATGCTGTGACTCTCCCAACAGGGTAGAGGGGTCCAGCAGTATGTCCTGAAACCCAGTCATGGAGAAGGCCATTTGTCACTGGGCACTCACAGACAGACAGCTGGGGATCCTGGAACAGAGCAGTTCTTTCAAAAACGCTTCCCATGAGCTGAACTCATTCTGAATCCCCTTCTGGCTCCCCCTAGGCATTTGCTGTATCTTTGATCTATGGCAGCCGTTTGTCGTATTTCCAATTTCAAGAACTCCTTCTCGGAGCAAGCGAAGCAGAGAATTGAGACAACTGGAAACCTGCCTGAACTCTCAACTTGGCATATGGATATGCAGATACACCTGACAGCAATGACATGTAGGCCTCAGAGTCTGGATCTAGAACTTTCAACTCTCCTTTTCTTTCTCTCTCCTTTTCTATCATCTGAGTCCCCTTTCTTTCCCTTTGGTTCATCTTCCAGTCCTTCTCCTCCCACCCCTGGCCCCATTTCCACCCACCCAGCTTCCTTGTTGCCTTGTGGGCTTGCGGTGGTTTACCCGCCCAGGCTAGATGCCCAAGTGAAACGTGCCAGGGCATGGCCAGGAAGGCCAACTTGCTCCCCTCCCTCGAGGGCCCCACTCCACTTCATACCGTGAGCTGGGGGCTGCTGGACGTTAGGGCTCTTGGGGACGGGCAGGCCTCCAGGCATGGCAGTGATGATGGCCTGTTGGTGGGGTGATGGGCCAGACCGAGTCTCGGGCACACTCTTCTCCCCAGGTACTGCTTCCTTCCAGTCATCCTCGGCACACTGCTGGGGCTATGAAGGGACAGGACAGGGTTCATCTGCTCACACATTGCCTCTACATCCTCGGATACTTCCCCTGTTTCCGAGGAGTTTGGGTAGCAGGCAAGGACATTAAGGTTCAGCCAGCCCCAAATTAGGGAGGGGCCCCTGGGCTTTCTTGGATCACCCAGAGAGGACTTCGACAAAAACACCTCCACGCGGGCGCTGTGGCACTGACGGAGCTGCGTCCTCCCGTCTGTTCCCTGGACCTTGGCACTGGCTTACTCACCACTGGTGAGGCGGGCTGCAGTTGTAGGATGACAGCCGAAGCGTGCTGGAACCTGCGCTGAGGGGTGTGGGCCAGGCCCTCAGGGTATCCATTATGAGGCCCAGCGTCTGGCGTGGGAGGGTGACACTGCTGGGTGCCGCCAGCCTTGTGCAGACTGGTCGTGGGGCACTGGAGAGGCAGGGCGGGTGTAACTGGGCCTAGGGGCATGGCGTGGGCTTCGGGGCTGGGCTGCAGGGTCAGGCTGGGAGGGACCGAGGCAGGCTGGGGGTGGGGCTGGGCTTGGAGCGCTGGCCGGGCCTGCGGCGGTGGCGGCGGTGCTGGCGGCTGGGGCTGCTGCTGGAGCACAAACTGGGGCTGCAGGTGCTTTGAGGGCGGCTGCGAGAGGAGCTGGTGCGGTTGCAGCTGAGCATAGGCTGAAGGGGGGGGACAGACCAGGTCAGGGGGCACAGCTTGACCTCATCTTCTGCCGTGGCCCCCACTCTGCCCCTCCCACCTCCGTATCACGATGGCTTCCCAGACTGAGGTCTCGGGCTTTGATCTTTCAGCTTTCACCTAGAGCCTGGCCTGGCCTGGCCACTGCCATGGCCCAACTCTCTGTTTCCTTGCCTTCCTCCTGTGCTGAAGCCTTGTTCCCTCAGGCTGCCCCTCAAAACCCAGTGCAAAACTCACCTCCTCTGGGAAGCCTTCTTGGACCATGCCAGCTCTTCAGAGGACCCCTGGATTCTACAGCGTGCCATGTTCTCTGTCCCCTCCGTGCCCTTCCCTCGCTTTTCTCTGAGCCTGCAATTGGTGGGGCCTCCCTCCACCCAATCCAACCCTAGCTGTGCTCAGGCTGGGCCTCCTCCAGGAAGAGTGGATTGCACACGGGCCCCGGACTCTGTTACATACACAGGGGCCTCGGGCTAGCTGCTAAACCTCTCTGGGCCTCGGCTTCCTCCTCTCAAAGTTGAAAATAAAAAACAGTTCCCGCCCAGAAAGTTGTTGTAGGGATGAAATGAGAAAAAGCTGTGCGAATAAAAAGAGAAAAAAAGTGACACAACGTGCATAGCATGGTGCCTGGCAGACAGTCATGCTCGATCATTTCTAGCTATAATTAGAGTGATGATTTCAATCTCGGTTTAGGTTCTCAAAGTATGCTGGACTGACGTCTACCATAAGAACGTGTATCACAGTGCACTATAATTATTTCTTAGCTGCCTTCCCTTCAAGATCATGAACCCCTTGTGGTCAGAAACTATCCTGGATCTCTTTATCCAGAACCGGGCCTAATGCCGTACATCGGATGGGTGCTAAGGAAATAAACTTCTTGTCCTGAACTGGAATTCATTTGTTGCTACACACCGCTAGCCTTCTCTTCTTCCATTTTACCCAGGCCGACTCTTTGAGGTGAGGATTCTTATACTTTTTTAGTAATCCATTCAGTGTCTCGCTTATGCCTTGTATACAGTAGGGATTCAGAGATTCAGCTCAGAGATTGACCGTCCTTACTCCTCACCCTGCCTAATGGCATCCAGGCTAGCTTCGCCATGAGGGCAGCTCCTCCGAATCTGTCTTTTTTTTTTTTTTTTAAAGATTTTATTTATTTGACAGAGAGAGATAGCGAGAGCAGGAACACAAGCAGGGGGAGTGGCAGAGGGAGAAGCAGGCTTCCAGCGGAGCAGGGAGCCCGATGTGGGACTCGATCCCAGGAACCTGGGATCATGACCTGAGCCGAAGGCAGACGCTTAACGATTGAGCCACCCGGGCGCCCCTTCCGACTCTGTCTTGCCTGACGGAGGCCCTCCACCAAGACTCCCACAGCCGGGGAGCCCCCGCAGACAGGCTGTGCCTTGCAAATGCAGAGGGTCACAGCTGGAAGCTCACAAATGGATTTTTACAACCAAAGCCTCCCAGCCAATAAGAATAAAGGGAAATTTTGGATCCTGAGCTAACATTTTAAAAGAATCCTGTGATCCTGACAGGTGCAAAGCAAGCAGATTTCAAACTGAATTGGGGAGGGGGGCTTCTTTCTTAAATTTCGTCTATTTACACATCCGTTTCCAACTATCTCATCACAGCCCAACACAGAGTTCCAAGCAGAAGGCCAATCGGAAGAAGAGGTGTTAAGGGAAAACAACGCGGTCCCTGGTGACTGACCGCTGTAGGCAGAGAGAGGGAAAAGGGGTTTTAGAGAAATGCGCTGGGTCTGAGGTGATGGTAGAACATCCAAACGGAAATTGCCAGTAGGCATTTGGTGATTATAAATTGCCCTTGCCTCCAACTTAAGCCTTGTCTTCCAATTCCACATTAAATAGCTCAAAACTTAATCAGGCAAAGATTATTAATCAGGCAAACTAGACAATCAGGACTTTTTGAGATGACTGTTGAGAAGGCACCCGGGAGATCCCACAGACGCCACCAGTGCCCCGTTAGGCTCGAGAGGCCACGAAGACCTGCAGAAGGATGGGCACCGTCACTGAGAACTCAAGCAAACTTTCTGTCTTTCAGTACAAAGTCACGAAGTCCTGCCCCGGGAACAGTCGTTCCAGGGGCTGCCCATCTGAGGTGAGCGCGGGTACAGGTGCGGGGCAGGGAGCTGGGCATCTGCGGCATGTCCCACCACTCCCGGGTTGTGTGGCTGGAGGCGGGTCCTGCTCCTTCTCAGGGATTCAGAGTTTTCTCTGAAACGGGAGGTTTGGGTGAGATGAGCACAGGAGTCTCTCCCAGCTCTAATCTGATGGGGGTGGCTATCATAGGAAAGTAGCGTAAAATTCAGGATGTATAAGGTGGTAAAAAGAAGGTCAGAGAGGAAAAGGGTTCTAAGACTCCAGCGCATGGAGTACAGTTAGGGACAATACACGTTTGCTTGCCAAGATTGGGAAAGCAACTGCTGGGCCGCTCTCCCAGGGTGTCCCTGTTTATGCCACTAGCCCACTCTCTCCCCTCTGTGCTGCTCGTGGAAAACTGGAGGCATTGTTTCAGAACAGATGATGCTAGTCTACGCCATGCTGGAAACAAAGCTCATGAAGCCTTAGATAAGTTCATAGATCAAAGACTCAAGGTATTTTTGGGGGGGGTTGTACATCCGTAACCTTTTGAGGTTAATAAAAAGCAAAGACCATGATTTAACTCCGGCATTATCCTGGGTCAAAAGTCCTTTTATTTAAAGTATTGCAATAACTTTCTAATTGGTCTTTCTGATTCCGTTTTCTTCTCTCTATAATCCATCTTATAGATTGCACATTAATCTTTCTTTTGCAAGTTAATCTTCCTAGGGCACAGATCTGACCCCCGATAAAAAGCCATCAGGGATCCTCCTATGTCGGCTGTGTAAAGCCCCTGGCGTTCAAGATCTCTTTGCAACCTTTTAATTTTTATTATTACTTTGATCTGAGCAATCTACTACTCACTGTCCTCCGTACAGAGTTTATGCCTCGTCTCATCCACACAAATCAAATTCTTTCCCTGCCCTTACAGCCGAGGATACCCTTCCCTTTGAGCTACACCAAGGTCTCTCTGCTTTGCACCGCCCTCAGAGATGCAGTGTGTCCAGTGGTCAAGTGTAAGCTCTAGAGTCAAAGTGCTTGGATTTGAATCTTAGCTCGGCCACTTACTAGCAGTGTGCTGCTGGGCAAGTTACTTGACCTCTCTGTACCTCTGTGTCATCATCTTTAAAAGGGTAACGATGATACCTATTTCATGGTTATTTCAGTAAAAGACTTATCTCCTTTAGTAGGCAGAATTTATGGGATTCATTTATTTCATCCAAAGAACCTTGAATTTAGTGGATGCTCAATCAGTATTGGGGAATGAATGAATGAATGAATGAATGAATGAATGAACGAACGAATGACAACATTGTGGGACTCCAGCTTGTTTGTCCCACAAAACCTTTCCTCTTTAGAGCCAGAACACGGATGAGAGGGATATAAGCCCACAGATCATTTTGGTTTAAGCAGCATTCTGGTTTACGGAAGACCCTCCTCCTGTTCAACCCCTGCTCACTACCTTCCTGCACTCACTTTCAACCCACCCCAACTGCTCTACTCGCTGTGCATGAAACGTCATATCCCACTGTGCCTGTCTGGCTTTGATTTCGGTGCTTCCACTTTCTGGAATGCCCTCCTTCTGCTTCAATGATCCAAAGGCTTAAGCTTCTTTGGCTCAGGCTCAGCTCCTGTTGTCTCCCTTGTTGCCTTAACTCTCAATTATGGGTTTTCCCGCAGAATTCCTGAAGGTTTTTGTTTCTTTGATTCATTTATGATTTAACATGTGCTATCTTGTATACATATTTCACTGATTCTTAAAAATTGATTCTTTTACTCCCCCACCCCCCGTTTTAACATAACATCCTCTGAATTGGGCTGCATATTGCAGTTGCTGTCAGTTCAACAGGGTGGTGCTTTTCCTCCTTAGAGTTTAATACAATAACGGTGCATCTTGCAATCCGTGGTGTCCTAGATGAACTCAAACGGGAATGCTTTTATTCTTGTGTATGTTTCCTATCTTTCCAACTATCCTTTTTCAGTCAAAGGCATGTTCTATGATGCTTTTTAATTTTTTCTTAATTTAAAAGATATGCTTTAATTTAGCTGGAAAGTTTTTATGTCTCTTTCATCTTCCACATTGTCCAACATGATACTCTACATGCTTGCAGATGCTTTGTAAATGTCTGCTGCTGATCATGGTAAGATACATGAATGCTTCTCCCTCTGCCATGCCCTCCACCTCAGTTTGGGGGTGGTAAAGGGCCTGATTGCAGCCATGATACCAGAGCAGGCCATGCCCCTCTTCCCCACAGGTAGGATGGGGCATATCAGTTTATGAAATGTTAATGCACAGAAATCTCTTTTTTCTTTTTCTTAATTTTTTCTAATGCCCAGTAGCTTCATTTTTTCCCCTGCACCCACTTTGGCTCCCCCATCCCCTCCTGCTGTAGAGTCATTGCTTCTAAGGAACAGAGGGTTGCTTCCACGGGACCTCAACCCTGAAAGGCCCCATCAGCCCTTTCTCTTATGGAGCAGGCAAGGGGCAGGGCCAGGACCGCCAAAGATTAGATTCTAGCAAGAAAAGAGAGACTCTAGGCAATGCTCATCTTCCCATCTGGTGCTCTAACCTTGAACGGCCTCCTTAGAATCTTAAGAGGCCAGTTCACTGCTCCCAAACCAGTTGGTTGTCAGCAACAAGAGGATTAAGGTCCCCCAGGCAGGAGAGATTACTGGCACGCCCCCTTCACTGCATCCACTGTCAGAACTTATCAATAATTAATCTCTATTGATCTCAAGGCTTCAAGTATTCAGGAAACAGCTCACTGCCCCAGACAGGCTGAGACTCTTGTCCCAAAATACACCAGAGCTGTCAGCATCTTCCTCACGGGTCCAGGCTTGCGTGTACACTTATTTTTCTAGACTCTGTTATAATGGACTAGAGTTAC